CGCGTCCCGGCGCGAGCGGGAGCGGGAGCGGGAGCGGGAGCGCGCCTCGTCCCCGCCCGACCGCATCGACATCTTCGGGCGCACGGTGAGCAAGCGCAGCAGCCTGGACGAGAAGCAGAAGCGCGAGGAGGAGGAGAAGAAGGCCGAGTTCGAGCGGCAGCGGAAAATGTGAGCGTGGGGCCGGACACGCGGCGGTGTCGGGATCGGGGCGGGGAGCTAGCCACGCGGGGTCGGGATCGGGGCGGGGAGATAGCCACGCGGGGTCGGGATCACGGGCTGGCACGCAGGACCGGACATGCGGGGCAGGGCGGAGTCACGCGGGATCGGCGGGGCGGAGGGACCGGCACGAGGGGCCTGGGGCACGGACCCTCGGGCCGGCATCGGGGGAGAGGGGTGGAGGGGATTGGATCCGGCCTGAATGGTGGCGGCACCGCTTCTCCCCGGCCTTCCGGTCGTGCCCGGGGGTCCGGCGAACTTGGAGAAGGGAGGGAAGGAGAAAGCGATTTTGGCGCGCGCCGGAGCGTCCCGGAAGTGGGGGTGGAGCCCGGCGCGGCTCGGGCGGCCGCGCTGGCGAGCGAGCGAGCGAGACCCGGAGCCAGCCCGGCCCGGAGGCGTGGATGGCGGTGACGAGCGGCCGCCCGCGGGTCCGCGTGCGGAGGACCCGGGACGGAAGCGCAGCCGCCCTGCGCGTAGACTGGCCCATCGACTTCGGTACCTTCTGCCCCTGCGGTCCTGTTAGAACCGATGCATAAGCAGATGCAGGTTGCTTTTTGTTTTTACAACGTGGACTTGTGACGTGTACAGTTTTTTAAACGCACAGATCTTAGATGTGCGGTGGGACTGGCTGTTTTCCATGGGTTCACTTGTGGGAATATCCTTCTTTACTTTGCCTTATAGTCCACCACCGAGCAATGTGAAATTCTGTTATTTTCCTTTGTAGATAGATGTATTTAGAAAATGTGAAATTGCTTTTGCTTGTATGCAGATTTTCTGGGGTGTTTGTGGGTACTGGGGCTTGAACTGGAGGCCTACACGCTCTCCTGAGCTTTTTTTGGCCCAAGGCCAGTGCTCTACCACACGTGAGCCACTGCTCCACTTCCTGCTTCTCACCAGTTAATTGGAGATAAGAGGCTCGGGGACTTTTGAGCTTAGCTGGCTTCAAGCTGCAGTCCTTAGATCTCAGCCTCCTTGGTAGCTAGGATTGCTGTCATTGGCCCCTGGGTCCTCCCCCCCCCCTCCCCCTGCACTTAGGCAGAGTGTTTATTAGGGAAAAGTCAATCCCAGTAAGGGTACTCGTTACTCTCTTTGGAGCAAATCACATGATTTGAGTCATCTCACAGGTGCTTTGGGGTCTCATAGTAGATGTGGACAACCCAGCTAAATGAACTGTTTCACTATGTAGGATTTTTTTTTAAATTTAAAATTTGTCTTATCCTGGTGTTTTGGATCTTTAGCTCCCACAAAGCCATATCAAAGAGTAGAGTCACACTACCTCCACATTCAACAGTCATTGTAGTACACAATTCTTCAGTGAAGTTTAGAAAGGGCCATGAAGCCTCAGCATGAATGGGTGTGTGGTCTTCCTGAAAGGAATTTGAGTGTGGAATTGTTTAGGAGTTTTCTATTTTCCTGCAGTTGAGGGTTTTTTTTGTCTTTTGTACCATATAGATTTTTCAACACACCTTGTGACCAAAAGTCAAGTAATTAAGAGGCAGGGGCTGGGTCATAACTGATTGGCTGCATCTACTTTGCTGTCAATGTACCTTTGAAACATATGCAGATCTTTTCAGTTTTGCCACATTGGGAACTGCCAATGTTGGTGACAGTGTCAGCATTTGTGAGTGATATGATTATGAAAACAAAGGTGAAGCAGTTGTTTCATAAACTTGAGTGTATGTAGATTTCAGCCCTTGGACCTTGAGTAACACTCCTACCTGTAAAGTTGCAGTTCTCAAATAACGATCAGTAGAACATGTGCATAGAGCTCTAAGACACCACTGAGATAACCTGTGCCATGGGAAACCGAGTTTTATGAAGAATAGTTGCCTTTCACTAGACAGTTAAAGACTTGTAGGAAAAGCAAAAGGAATAATTAGAAGCTTTCAGCAAGTTACATGTGAACGGAAGAGAGAAAAGAGATCTAGGGAGTTAGAACAGGTATGCCATTTGAGATTAAGAGAAACAAACTGCATTAGTGTTTAAGAAGTGGAACGGCCAGGCTCAACTCCCTTACTGTGCTTTGTGGGGTCTGATGGAAAAAATGCAAAGAGAACACTGAAAATACTTGGGCATTGGAATAGAGGGTTGGGAGAAGGAGTTGTAGGTTTACAAACTACTGTTGGTTAGTTTATTGAGGTAGTATTTATCAAACATTTAATAAGTGCTAGGCACTGTGCTAAGTCATATTAATAAAAAGATGATTGGCCCCTTCTAAGACTTTCATCTGTCTAAAACACAGGTAATTTTTAATAATTTAGTAAATTCAGTGCCAGTGTTAGGGCTGTATAAAGGAAGCATCTTGGATGGGTAAATACTTGGTTGCCTTAAGGAATGAGGATATAAGAAAAGAAGACTTTATCAGGCTAGTTATAAGAATATGTGTGGACCAAGAGAATGTGCCCATCCCCCAATAAAGATCCAGAAAGGAAATATTTATAAAGTTGAATAAAGGTGATGTGGACCACAGTGTGGAGTTCTGTAAGAAAGGTAGAGAGTAACTGGAGAGGGAAATAAAGACTGGGAATTGTGGGAGGATTCTTGTATGCTACCTGAAGGATTTGATCTTAAGGTAGAAACAGGAAAGATTGAGTGGGAGCAGTTGTAAATTAGATGGAGATGTAAGGGAAAGTGTTAATGATCCCCCCCCCCCAAATGTTGAAGTGCTAAAATGCGAGACTATAGTGGTCAAGGGAGAAGAACAGAAGGCGTTCATGGCACTGCTACTGTGGGATGTTCTGATGTTAAGATTGTAGGGGACTGAGGCCTAGAAGAGAGGCTTCACTTGAGTCAGTAGTCAGTGGAATAATCCATTCCATATAGTAGATGGAGAAATGACAAAGAGAGGGAAGTAGTTGGTTCAAAGGGTTTAAAGAATCCAGGTCTGCTTGTGAAATAGGTTCTAACCTTATGGAGGTGGTTTTTCCCTCTTTTGATCCTCCTGTCTGCTGAGTAATTGGGATTGCAAGCATGTATCACCATCTCTGATTGCATTCGGAGGCAAGGGAAAGCGTTTTCTGAACAAATAAGAGTTTGTGGAACTATTTTTGAGTTTAGTACCTTGAGACAACAGTACACCGACCTAACAAAGTTGATGAGACCTTAATGAGTTCTTTAATGCTTCTTTGCTTCTCACACTTTTGCACGTTAGGCTAATAAAGTGCTTATGATCATTAGCTTTGAAGTCGGTTAAGGTTCTTAGCCACAGCTCAACAATGTGTAGACTTGAGCCCATTAATTTGAACGTTTTAGACTTTCCATTGATTCCTACCTCATAGGAACAGCTGTGTCAAACTCTTGATGCAGTATTTGGTACTTGGTAATACTAAATGCTGTTGGCCAATAATGATTTAGCAGTTCATGGAAGGTTGGGTCTAATTGGGTTTACCCATAATGCTGTGTGCCCTCACTGTTTTGTCTTTAAAGTGTATTATGACTTTTAAAAATACCTAAAACTGGAAAAATGGGAGCCTTTGTCTTACATCATTCCCAATTAAAAACTTGAACTATTATTTCAACCTCTACCAGTATTATGGACACCTTGCAAGCCAGAGTCTTGTGAGGAGGGCTGGAGCAAGCACAGACAAGGCAGGGGGACAGCTTCCTAGCACACGTTGCAGGGGATAGGTTAACCTTTTAATTGTGTAGAAAGGGAAAGATGGGTCAGTGATACTCTACCCTTTTCTGGTTCAAGAAATTAAAGTGTTTTTCCCTCAGGTTTGAAGTAACGTTCATCTTAGTGCCAATAACAAAAAATCAAATTATTAGTGGTGCTTGGGCTTCCTCTTTGCCTGTCTCCATTTCAGCATGGTGGAATGTGCTGTTTGCTCTAGGAACAAATGGAAATGAACAGTCTGTGAACAAGTACTGCGGGCCGGTTCTCATGCCCTTTCAATTGAGCGTGGTACTTCCTCCTTGTCATTGCCTGGACACTGTCATCTTGCCCCTCTGCTTTGCGGTGGTCCTGGGAGTAAAGAGGACAGGCCGCTCACCACCATGTTGATTTTGCTTTGGCTATGGCTGTAATCGGCTGAATTGACCTGGCTTATTTTCTCCTTTTGGATCAAATCTTTGAAGGCAGTGGTCATTGGCCATTGTGCTATTGATTTAGGAATAGCTTCAGCTTTTTCCGGATTCCCTGTTTAAATTGAGAACTTTTCTACTGTTGGCAAACATGGGACCTTATCCTATTTTTTTTCTTGTCTACATTGTGTGGAGCATTTAATTTGGAATTATTTTAATTATATTATTCTTAGGAATAAAGTACACTTTTCCACCTAATGCTGGTCATTGAGGGTTACAGTGTCCTATTTGTTTTTTAAGCTTCTTTACATATATTGACTTCATAAGAATCAACTGAAGTATAGTGTATATTTTGAATTAATATGAAAAGTTGGCATATGCAAAGGTGGATTATTATTCCTCAAATACCTATCCATATTCCAAAGTTGTCAGTCCTTTATTCCCATAGAAATTTGTTGAATTTCCATAGATGCTCCTTATAATTCATATCTTCATTAAACTTTATCACTAAACTGCTGAGGTAAAGAAAGCTTACTGAAATCCAAATTCTGTAAGTGATTAGAGGTTGAAAAGGGAAAGGAAAGTAGTCTTTCAAACACCTTTAAAAAAATAACTTAATTACAGGAGGGAGATGTTAAAGAAACAATCCTCAAAATTGTTCCAAATGTCTAGGACCTTGAGAGAAAAATCAACTTTCTCTAGTACTTACCTACCTACTCTTTGATGGAAGAAAGCTGTAGAAATCAAAATGAATTTCAATGTTGATCTGTTGGTATTAGTATAGTATCACTGAATAGGAGGTAAAAGTAAGAGCCCATGGGTGGGGGAATTCATGTCAAGAATAGAATTGAGTGGAAATGGCTTGAAGAGTAAAAGGTCACATAGAAATTGACTGTCTCATACATATTTATGTCAGATGAGTTGGCAAAAGATAAAAGCTACAGGTACTATTTAATCTGTTGGATTGTGGAAATGTTTAAGTATTAATAAATGGTGTTTTTAGAGTTGGGTACTGTGTAAGAGCCTCTAGTTCATATATTCCGCAACAAATTACTGTCTCAGCATACTGTGTATGAACAATGTTTGGTAATTTAGAATTTTCTGTAGCTGATTTTAAAAAAATGGAATTAATTTTAATATAATCTCAGCTTATCCAAAGTAACCATCAACAACTAATGAAGTGGGGATACCTGTTGTCATATTGATCTTCAATTCAGACTATAGACACATGTGACTAGTGGGTATCACTGATAACAAAACTTGCAAGATTTTCATGAAAATACCTTGATAATAGCAGCATTTTCAGCACAAAAATTTATTTTTAGCAGATAAAGTGGGCTTATAACATAAATGATATTTAATTCTATAGTCACATGCTTCATTGAACTTTTTCATAATAAAATGTATTTTCACTGTTCTACTTTCTTATCTCTAGAGGAGGTTTTAATTAAAAATCAGTAAAAAGAAAAGGCCAGTAGAAGATAAAAAGTTCAAACTAACTTGTCTATTTTCAGTGACAGTTATATTACATCAGCCCTCTTAAAGTCTTTACGTTTGTATTTATTCTGTTCTTACAATTGGGGAAATGAATTCAGCCTATTTGAATTGCCAAGACATAATACATTTTCTTTTGACTTTTCGGTAGCTAAGCCCATAGTCTGAGTGGATCAGCAAATTTGATAGATTTTAAAACTATCCTTAATAAACTTTATGACATAATAGATTTTTTTGTTTCATATTTAGTTTCTGAGTGAAAACTAATTAGGTTCTTAGTGTATACAAGATTTTCTATATTTAGAATGTGATTGAAAAGTGTTCATATTTATTTGATTTTCTGTATTAACACATTGATAAGTAGTTTCCTTAAATGTGATGTAAAAATGAATTATAAGATTAATTCACAAAATCTGCTTCAGTGGTTTGATAAAGTTTACACCTAGTTTTGTTTTTATCCTTAGGGTTTTTTTTTTAATGTCTAAGTTGTTTCTACTTTGTTTACTAGCCGGCAGCAGGAAATAGAAGAAAAACTCATCGAGGAAGAAACAGCTAGAAGAGTAGAAGAATTGGTGGCGAAAAGGGTAGAGGAAGAATTGGAAAAACGGAAAGATGAGATTGAGCGAGAAGTCCTCCGAAGGGTGGAGGAAGCCAAGCGCATCATGGAAAAGCAGTTGCTCGAAGAGCTCGAGCGACAGAGACAAGCTGAACTAGCAGCACAGAGAGCCAGAGAGGTAACGCTCGGTCGTTGGGACAGTAGAGACAGTCCATGGCAAAACTTTCAGTGTTGGGTGTGCCTCTTGCTCAGTTCAGAAAGAGATGGAATACAGACTATCTAATTCCTTTCTCATCTAAACTTACATTGCTGCAAAGAAAGTTAATTTTTTAGCCTATTCAGTAGTGCTGACTGATACATAAAAGTTACTTTTTATAAAACTTAAGGAAACTCATCGATTTCAATGGAACTGGCCTACATATTTGAGAAGTGTTTGAAACTTTTGCCATGGCTGCAGGACTTACATTCTTTTTTGGGAGAGTGGGGGGAGACAGGGAGTGGTAAAGGGGAAAGGTTTACAAACAAATCCACCTATGACTGTTTGTCACTCTTACCTAGACTGTGAGAGGCTTTTTGCCTGCAGTCAGATGAAAAAGAACAGGGCCAAACATTGAGTGACAGCACCTGCTTTTGATGAATAGGTTTTCTCACTCTTCTTTCTTCTTCTTTTATCTCTCACCCCTCCCTAAATCCTCGACACAGTGGACTAATTCTAGCAATCTGATCATAAGGCCCTCCATTTTCCTAATGTGTTTCAAAAAATCTTTTTTTAGGAAAAAATGTCCAGATTATTCATCCACTTTTTTAGTGTCTACTAACAACTCCTTTTTTTCTCTAGAGAGTTATGAAGGAACAGGTTGTCCTTGTCTGGAGTCAAGCTAAACACATGATTTGTTTTATCAGCAGCTGGAGCAGAAGTTGAAAATGTCTTTCTGTGAGACAGTAATTTGCTACTGAAGCTTTATGGCTTGTTTGCACTGATTACTCCAGGATCCTATCACTTGGTGAAAGTTACTGAAACACTCAAGGCAAATTACTGACCGCACTAAGTGCCCATCAACATAGTTTGCGTAATGAATGTGATTACCCTTGGTGTGGCTATAGAAAGTCCTGCAGTTCTGTTTCTTTTATCTAAAATGTTTGACTTAAAGCAGCACATGGCTCATTGTCACTTCTCATCCTGACATTCCTGTGGACAAGCTGACATTGTACTAAATCTCTGCTTTCTAGTAAACTTCGCTTGTAAAATGCATCTTCCCTTGTCCTGACTTTAACTAGGTAGACATGCCTATATTTATAGTTGATTTCACAGACACTATAAAGTTGAATATATATATATATATATATTTTATATCAGTGCTTTTAATAATGAAGATATTTTTGGAGTAACTGTGCTATCTTGTAGCGAGTTATTAATCATAGTAAGATTTTTTTCTCTTCATTTACTTTTTGTTTCATATTAACATTTTTGGTTTTTACACGGACACAATCCTCTTGACAGTCTTTCCAAATATTAAAATCATTTGACTCTGTATGCTGTGATCCGAACACTGCCCAAACCATCAAGCAATCTTCATATAGTTTTGCATTATAAAATTTCATTAAATTCTCCAAGAAAAAAAGAGATGACAGAATTTTATTTCCTGACTGTGCATCCCCTGGATTCCTGAATTTCAGTTCAGACTGTAGATGACAATACAAGCTGCCTTTAGAAATTGTCAACATCTGAATGTTAAGTCCATTTGCCCCATGGAAGAAGCCCTTAGTTCCATGAAGTATGGATTACCATTTGTATTTTTCACTAACAGTAAATGTATTTTTCTTATTAATTGTTTGCCTTAGGAATGATGAATTACATTTTTTGTTCCTTCTTACCATAAACATCTGCATTCCTCAGCTCAGCCTTCCTTGTATGTTGTTTCTTTATAAATGGTTGAGCTGCTGATGCAGGTATGCCAAGCTAACAGTACAAATCATTTTAAAGAGGAAGCTGGCGCGTATGGCAGCCGAGGAGCACACTCTGCAGGACACTGGACAAGACAGTAAATATTCAACTTTTAATGCTGATTAAAGGAGTATAGGTAAAGAATACGTAGGTATACATAATTGGTGAGACAAATATTCACTTTATTTATATTTTATATATTATTTTTTTTAATTTGGTAAATACTATCCAGTTTTGTAGTTGTCCTTGTTGATTTGTGTGATATTAAAGTATTAGTAATAATGGCCAGGAAACTTATCATTAGGGAGGGTTTAGTCGGTTGCTGTTGGACTGGGAGGGATGATTTAAATTTAGTGCTAGAAACCAATTTTAGTGACTGCGCAGTTTATCATTTGTCAAATGGAAGGTAGCTATAAAGCTACCCTGTAAGTCAGATCAAAAGTTCAGAGGAAGATTAGTAAATATTTATCAATAAAATAAACATTTTGTTTTTCTAACATCTTAACATGTCCTCCCCTTTAGGAGGAAGAACGGGCAAAGCGTGAGGAGCTGGAACGAATACTAGAAGAGAATAACCGAAAAATTGCAGAAGCACAAGCCAAACTGGTGAGTGTGGAATGATAAGAATTTGCATTTGCCCTGTTTTTATTCCGTATTTTGTGGACTGTTTTTGTGCTTTATCATTTACTTACTTAGGGAGAAATACTTAGGGCTACCTGCCTATTAAGGGTTTTCAGTTGGAAACTGGTAGGAGAGTTAGCCAGACCACCTCTGATCTAGAGAGAACTTCAGTATTTGCAGTGGTTTTAAAACAGGTTTCTGGCTCACACTGGTAACTCACACCGGTAATCCTAGTTACTCAGGAGGCTGATATCTGAGGATCACAGTTAAAGCCAGCCCTGGAGTAAAGTCTGCAAGACACTTATCTCTAATAAACTACTCAGAAAACCAGAAGTGGTGTGGTGGATAGTGGATCAAGTGGTAGAGCACTCACTTTGAGCTGAAGAGCTGAGGGATAATGCCCAGGCTCAGAGTTCAAGCCCCATGACCGATTTAAAAAAAAAAGTGCCTAATCACTCACATTTCATCAGTGCTTACAAATTTATCAGCAACAACAGTAAAAAGTTGGAATTAAGGGGCTGGGAAGGTGGCTCAGTGGTAGAGCACTTGCCTTGCATGCACGAGGCCCTGGGTTCGATTCCTCAGCACCACGTAAGCAAAAAGAAAAAAGCTGGAAGTGGAAGTGGTGCTGTGGCTCAAGTGGTAGAGCGCTAGCCTTGAGCTGAAGAGCTGAGGGACAGCACCCAGGCCCAGAGTTCAGGCCCCACGACTAGACTACCCCCTCCCCCCCCCCAAAAAAAAGTTGGAATTAAAACAGTATTACATGCTGTACTACTTGCTTAGTTATGTTACCCAACCAATTAAGTTTTTTAACTCACTTGAACAAGTGTACCAGAGTAGTGAGTGTCATATTCTATGCCATGGTCATACTCTTAAATAGGAACACAGACTTAAGGAATTATATGGTAAAGTGATAGAAAGGATGTAGAACAGTTTCAAAATTGCAGTAAAGAAGACAGCATAAGAACAGACTGGAGAGGGCTGGGAAGGTGGCTCAGTGGTAGAGTGCTTGCCTTGCATGCATGAGGCCCTGGGTTTGATTCCTCAGCACCACATAAGCAAAAAGAAAAAAAGCCGGAAGTGGTGCTGTGGCTCAAGTGGTAGAGCGCTAGCCTTGAGCTGAAGAGCTGAGGGACAGCGCCTAAGCCCAGAGTCCAGGCCCCACGACCGGACCCAAAAAAAAAAAAAAAGAACAGACTGCTGGAGAGATGCTTCAAAACAGAAGAAAATAGGCATTATAAATGAAAACTTTTTTTGTACAAAACGAGCATAAATCTGAGGTGGAAGTAAGTTTTGCCAAGGATGTCTGTGGTGTGACTGTTTACTGATACTTAGGGCCAAGGACTAAAAGACACAGGCCTCTTGGTTTGAGAGAAGCATCTGTAAAGTTGGTCTGAGTAAGTAGAATGTAATGACAGAAAGATATTCCTTCTTAAGTCATGTCAGGTAGAGAAGAGAGTGCAAAGTTTATTTTTTTTTAGTTTGTTTGTTTATATTTTTGCTTTTTATTTTTAAATGGTAGTAAAAAATACACATAAAAAGGTCTCAGTTCTAATCAACAGTTGATCCCATTAAAAATACAAGAAGGAAAATTGGTTCTAGATTGTGTTCTTCAAAAAGATATACTGTGCGTTCGTAAAAGATATACTGGAGATTGCATGGGTAACTTAGTATATTACAGAGAATTGTTGGTAAACATCTCTGCCCTGAATTCAAACCTCAGTACTGCCAAAAGAAAAAAAAACATGGTTTATCTTTCCATAAAAGGACAAAAAAAAACTCAGTGGGTACACATACACTAGACTCCTTGGTATGTCATTGGGGAGGAAAAGTAAACACTTGAGATGTATAGAGTTCAAGTACTACAAATGCCTGGTCTGTTATTCCCATATGACTGTCCAGCTTTCTCCAACATCATGCTGGGTTTGAACAAATGTAAAATTTTTACTGCATAACCTCAGTTAAGCATACTAACTTTGCTTTCCTCTGGGTGCTGTTTGCTCTTTGGAAGGCACACATCTACCAGATGCAGGGCAGAGAAGCACTGAACAGAAAACAACTGATATGTGAGGGATTGGAAATTATTTTTAAATTACTTTTTTATCATGCTTGGCCAAAACTACATGTAATACAATCCACAAGTAAGGCAGTCTTACTGAACTTGAGCCTTATAAAATCAGATAAAAAGTCAAAGTGAGGCTTCAAATGGGATTTTGGCAGGTTGGTTTCTGGTTCTTGAGTTTGTATGGTAACACACAGCTATCTTCCGATAACCTGAATAGTTATTGTGAATATAATGGAGAGCTTTAATTTCCTTTATTTAAAGTAGCACCTAAGATTTTTCTGAAGCCTCTTAGTTTTCTCTTAAAATATCCCTGAATTCTAGGTTTTTGAAATGCATGTGAATTGTACTTTTTTAAAATGGTATGTTGGACTTGTCAAAAACGTGATAGATACTGGTGCAAAGTGAAATCTTTCTGGGTGGTTCAGGAAGAATGAGCTACTGGTGAAAGCAGTGGTAAAACAGGGAAGAACAAAACCCACTCAGTATGTCAACATCTAAAAGTAGATGGACAGGCATGTTATAAACAACATGCTGGTTAGTGTAAGGATAGTTTTTGACTAAATGGACATTTGTTTGAAGTTGTAAAATGCATACAAATTTATAAATTATAGATTTACAGATTGTTGAAGTATTTTCCCTCTTATCCTGGCCAAGTTCATTGTGCTATGTTACACTGTATACTAAGTGGTTGAGAGAAAAATATCTAAAAGGTGGCAATTGAAGCTGGATGCTTGTGGCTCAAGCCTGTTACCTACTAAGGCTGAGATCTGAGGAGATCACCATCCAGCCTGCAATAAGCAGTAGAAAGCTAGAAGGAGAGAAATATCTCAGTGGTAAGAGTGCTGGCCTTGAGTACAAAAACAAGAACTCCAGGCCCTTGAGTTCATTCCCCAGTACTAGTACAAAAACAAGAAAAAAAGTTGGTAATTGGACTGTGTTTGTAACTTAAGTGGTAGGGTACCTGCCTAGCAAACTTGAAGCCCCGATTACACCAAATGTAAATGTCAAATATTTTAATTTAGCTTGAGGTGGTAGAGAAACATTAGGTAAGTAATATAAGTATGAAAGACTTGTTCCATGTATATTAAAAAATAATCCTTATTTACAGCTTTATGCTAATTAATTGAGGCAACAAATTAACAAGTAATTTTTAGACATTGGTGAGTATATTGACATTGTATGGCTTAGACATACAATTGACATAGGGTGGCTTAGAGACCAAAAATTGGAAAAAAGAATCAGAAGATGGCAATTATTACACATTCTCAGAAAGAAGAGAATTGATACACTTAGTGAGTGGTGAAAGGTATATAGAGGAAGAGGTAGCCATGAGGGGAAGGTCTTGTAATACGAGAAGATTAATCAGGAGCACTGTTTCACGCCTGTGAGGGAAAGGCAAAAAGGAATGAATGACCAAGACCCCCCAAAAATGTACTCCAAGGAAGATAGCAATTAGGGTATAGAAAACTGAAAGAGCTACATCCAGATAGTACAGGTTTTTGGTGTGGGATTTTACAATATGAAATATATGACATGAAAATGACCATAATACAGCAATGTCTGGAGTTCTGTGTGATTTTTCACTTACCCTATCTCAAACCTAACTCAGTTTTCCTCTAAAGCAGTTGTCTTCACTTTAGGGAACATGGATCTCAGGAGATAAAATTGTCTAAGGCTGAAGTTAGAAAATGATGTGAAGTTATAAAGATAACTGGAGGGGACATAAAATGAATTGGGATGAAAGGAGTAGAGCCATCAGTAAGCTGTGGGTGAAAGGAGGTGGGACAGGAAACTGGGAGCTTTCCTGTATTCTTTCTGTCCACAGTCCTAGATATGAGGGTGAACCATCGTAGGCCTCAAGGACGAAGGGCTTGCCCTAATGATTTAGTGTTTGTGAGGGTGGTAGTCTTTGGCGTCTACAGTGTCACCATATCATCCTGTGGGTGAGCTTAGTGTTCCCCAACCCTTGTGTAAATCGTGTTTTCTTGATAAACATGAAACAGGAGGGGAAAAACAGTGTGGATATTTTTTGGCAAGCAGTGTCAGTGAGGACAGAGGAAGTCAGTTAGAAGCTAGCACTTAGCAAGGAGGTATAGAATTAGAACAGACTTCTAGATGGATGGACAGGAAACCAATTTTTTCATCACTAGAGGGTCATTAAAATGAAAAAGGACTTTGGCTTTGTGTTGGATGAGTTTTATCTGTCAAATGAATAGAAAGCTATAATAGAATGAAATTCAAACACTGTTCAAGCCAGGTTATTTGCCTGCTCAGTTTAGTTGTTTAAATTGCTGCATTATTAAGTACTTCTGATTGTCATATATTTTTGGCATTACAGTCTAACCCTGTTACTGTACAGTTCCAATAAACTTAGACCAATCCTCTGTACATACCATAATTAAATCTTAGTGACTTAAAATGAAATTTATTTACTATCTAAATGCAGCATAATTACTATTTTCAGTTTATTAAGTTTGATTTGCTTTAAAGTTTAAGTGTGTGTATGTGAATGAAGTGAGGCGGTTTCTGGGGCATGAACTCACGTGGGGATAGTTCCTGAGCTTCTTTGCTCAAGGTTGGTATTATATCACTTAAGCTACAGCTCCATTTCTGGCTTTGTTGTTGTTATTGTTCACTGGAAGTGAGTCTAATGGACTTTTCTGCTTGGGCTGGCTTTTAATTGAGGTTCTCAGACCTCAGACACCTGAGTAACTAGGGTTATCGACCTAAGCCTCTCGCAGCTGGCCAAAATTTAACCTTTTGTCATCTGACGTGGTTCAATTTTTCTTAAGAAGGTAAAGTCCCTCTGCCTTTTCTAATCCACTCCCCATCCCTACCTCTAAAAGGCATACTCACTTACATTTGTGTTTTTCAAAAATTCCTGGAATGCATCTTTAGGAAGATCTAAACATGTAATAGCTTTTATTCTCCCCTGACTGCAAAAACAATACATTCTACTTGATAGTTGTTACTTTGCTGTTTACTACTGTATCATTTCACTTGACATACTTTAGAGCCTTTCCTCACCTCTGGATGCTTCCTTTTTTTTTTTTTAAACAGCTGTGCAGTGTTCTGTTTTATATTTAGTAATCTTTTTACAATTAATGAATGGAGAAGTATGCATGCTTGAGTGCATGCCAATACTAGGGCTGGCTTTTTCACTCAAGGCTAGTGTTCTTAATTGTTGAACTATCCCCCAATTCCAGCTTTTTGCTGGTTGATGAGAGATAAGAATCTCTGAGATTTGTTTGCCTGGGCTGGCTTCAAACATTGATCCTAGGATTGTAGGTATGAGCCACTAGCACCCTGTCTTAGAAACATGGATTTTCTTGTGTACAAGTATGTTAATAAGAAATTCCAGATACTAAATTTGTTTGATAAAAATGTTGTACACATGAAATTTTGATAGGTCAAAATATTATTTATTAAGATAGCATGTGGTGTCACATTTCTGTCAGTATGACAGGGTCAGCATAGAACTTGCCTATAGGTTGAGGTGTAGTCCCTTTACTTTCCAAGCCTCAGTGCTCTAATGTGCTTTATCCTTGGTACATACACAAAAAGATCTCTACTCAGTTATATACACTTAAACTCTTATCCTATACATGGGATGGTTTATTAAACCTATAAAGTAGATCATGTAGAGATAACAAGAAGGGTTTTAAGAACATTTTATATTGTTTTCAAGATAGGGTCTCAGTTTTTAGTTCAGGCTTATCTTGAACTCTTTGTAGCTGACCTCAAATTAATCATCTTCTTTTGGTTCTACCCAAGTGCCAGGATTACAAGCCTGTACCAACAGGCTTGGCTCAGATAAGTCATTTTGTTTTAGTTATTAGTGAAAATCTAAAGATAATGGTAATTTGAAATGGGTTTAGTAGTTCCAGTAGAATAATGGAAGTCGAAGCAATGACTTAAAATTTTACTTGGGCCAGGCATGGTGTAATGTGCTTATAATCCCAGCACGCTGGCTGATGTAGGGAAATTGTGGTGTTGGTCAGCCTGGATTATAGCAGAATCCTAAAAAATATTAATTAAAATATAAATAAATAAATGAGCTTTTACTTTGGCTAGGAAGGAAAACAGCTCAGAAGATAAGCGTGAATGTTAGCCAGGTGCAGGTGGCTCACACCTGTAATCCTAGCTACTCAAGAGGCTGAGATCTGAGGATCACAGTTCAAAGCCAGCCAGGCAGGAAAGTCTGTGAGACTCTTAGCTCCAATAAACGACTAGAAAATTGGAAGAGGCACTGTAGCTCAAGCTTGCCTTGAGCTGAAGAGCGCCAGAACAGCGCCCAAGCCCAAAGTTCAAACCCTACCACCGACAAAAAAAAGAAAAAAAGTGAATGTTGTAGATTGAGGGTAGATAACTGAACATTTCGAGGTTACAACCTGCTTTCTCAGTAATAAATTACACCACTCATTTTTGAGATTGAGAAGTAGTTGTGAGACCTCTACACTGTACCTGTCTGCTCCTCACTATCTCTAGACAGGATGTCCAGAACTGTCTAGTTGATGACTTTGGGGAGGCATGATACAACAACATGGCTTGAATGAATCTTGGTAAAGTGAGGAAACAAGAAGGCAGTTGGTTACTTGAGAGTGAAGGGATTTAAAAAGAACTTTTTTTTTTAATTAAATAAGAAAATGAAGTACAGAGCTGGGCGCTGGAGGCTCACACCTATAATCCTAGCTAAGCTACTCAAAGAGCTGGTATTTGAGGATTGTGTTTTAAGGCAGCCAGGGCATGAAAGTCCCTCAGACTTAATGGCCAATAAAATAATGGCCAATAAAATGACTCAGAGCAGGGTACCCGTGGTTCACACCTATAATCCTAGCTACTCAGGAGGCTCAGATCTGAGGATCAGGGTTCAAAGCCAGCCCAGGCAGGAAAATCTTTGAGACTGTTCTCTCCAATAAACCTCCAGAAAACCAGAAGTGGCGCTGTGGCTCAAGTGGTAGAGCACTAGCCTTGAGCTGAAGAGCCGAGGGACAGAGCCCAGGCCCAGAATTCAAGCCGGCCATGACTGACAAAAAACAACAACAACAAAAACAAACAAAAAACAAAATAGAAAAGCCAGAAATGGCACTGTGTTTCAAGTGGTAGTGAACACAAGGAGGCTCTGTCTGGCACAGCACCCAGGCTCTTGAGTTCAAGCTCCAGGTCAAGCTCCCCCCCCCCAAATAAAGAAGTACAGTTCTTTTTTGTTCCTCTACTATTTACTGTCTGGCAATGAAAACTAGGTAAGTTTAGCTAAACTTCAGAAATCTGTTGTTTGTATAGTATTGATTATCAGTTGTCACTTTACATATAAGTGAAGGTAAGGAAATCATAAAAATTTACAAATTTTTATTTTAACTTGCAGGCTGAAGAACAATTAAGAATTGTTGAAGAACAAAGAAAGATTCATGAGGAAAGGATGAAACTAGAACAAGAACGGCAACGACAACAAAAAGAAGAACAAAAAATTATCCTGGGCAAGGGGAAGTCCAGGCCTAAACTGTCCTTCTCGTTAAAAACCCAGGACTGAATGACAGACTCCGAACTTTTTACAAAGAAAACCAGAAAAACTTTGTATTGTAGCTTCATGTTGAAGTGTTTTTTTTTCTTTTCTTTTTTTTCTTTTTTTAATTTGGAAAATCTGAAAAGTTAGCTTGTTCTAATAGGGGCTATGCCCTGCAATCCCTTTTATCCCTCCCTCCTTTACCCTGAGCTTTGATGAGTCAAATCCTTATCAGATCATTGCTGTCTTGTAAACAGTGCTATATTTTTCACTTGTTTGGGTTCTGCATTGGTGGTCTGAAAAAGAGCAGATCACTTTGTTAACTATAAAATGGTCTGATAAGGTTTTTACTGGCCACTGACTTCAGAGTTATACTCTGTTTATTCCATCAATAATGCTGGTTTTGCTGACTTTTTGTTTTTTTATACATTTATAAAAAAAAAGGAAAAGTTGGTGATTGCATTGGAAATCCCAGGGTGTAAATTGTGCAGTGCATTGTTAAGCCAGTGTCCTTGTGATGCTGATGCCCTTGACGATCCTGATGCAGGTAAGGAAACAGTTGGACAGCTCTGGTAACCAGAATACGTGTGGACAGTCAGTATTGTCTCTGTTCAGCTTGTGTTTACTTCACTGACAAAATCAAACCAGCATTCCCCATTGTGTAAATAAATGATTTTGCTGAATAAAGTAAAGTCTTAAATTCATATGTTTAAGCAATTTTTTTTTAAGTTCTGTTAAGTCATAAAAGCGGGTGGTTTCCTTTTTGATGGTCAATTAGAAGCCTTAGAATTAAACTGTATTCTTTTTTATACTTTTAGGGTCTAGGTATACATTGAATATACTTAACAAGTTGATATTTAATGGCTATTTTTACAAATAACCTACTTTATGAAGATAGAATAATTACTTCAAGTGTTTCCTTTAAGACTCTTTGAGCTTGTGCCTCTTTTAGGAATAAGTTATCACCACAAATTATACTGAAAAATTCACTTAAAGATTATGGAGTATTAGATCACTTTTCAAAGGGGCTATCAGAAAGAATTTAGCTTTTGTATGTTCTAGAAGGCTAAAGCAGTCAAGTTATCCTTGCATGTTTATTTGGGGGGACCAAACCATTTAAAAATCATATCCTTTTATGCATGTGAAATCTTACAGATGACTTTACCATTTTATACACTAAGATCTGCCTCATCCTTACAAGACTGCTAGTATTAAAATGTTTAAGACAATGATACAGTTATAAAAATGCTACATGTGGTTCATAAACATGTCAGAGAAAACGTTCCCCAATACTTTGGAAGTCCTTTAAGACTGGAAACCTAAAGTGAATGAGATGACTAAATGGTGGATTATTTTGTGTGTGCATGCCAAGAAACCTGTTTACTGCTTTTGTTTTGAGCTCTTCCGTGTAGTGAGGAACAATAAAATCAGTTCTAGTATCTTTCAAGATAGGATTTTAAATAGGCATGAACTGTAGTGAGAACTTTATCATAAATAAGATACCTCTTAATCTAATCAAATTTATTTCCCTGGAGAGTAAGATTGGTTATGAATCGTTTATATATTGGCTAGCTGTAAGTATTCATCATTCTTATACTTTTTTAATGCAACTTTTGTTTGGATGCAGAATTATTGTTCTTCAGTTGTGTATTCATATTTATTTAAAAACTGCTTTTGCTATGCTAGTGTTCTAAACATTGTATCTAAAAAGGTAGCCTGGGCTTGAAATTGGCTTATGTAAGCCTTCTGTGTTTTGTGTTTTTTTTTTTTAAATTTTACTCACATGTGTCCGGTCATGGTGAGTTGTTTAATGATATACTGCAGTTATCTGCTTGCTGTTGAGAGACTCCACAGAGACCATGCGGTTCCTGTGCCAGGTGCCCCACCACTGTCTGCCATGCCACAGGGATGGATGGAATTGTTAGTACACTCCCAGTCTCTTCTGTGCTGCAACAATGTTGTAGATTGTTTTTTTTCACTTTGTTTCCACTGCCTTTGTGTACATATCATAAAAGTTAAAACTTTTCTCCCTAACAGTAGTTCTTATGTTCCCTAATTTTTAAATATGCTTTCATTTGAAGTTTGTTTTCTTAGGGTATTCTTGATGCAACATAAAACTAACAAATGACTGTTTATTTTTATGACCTATTGAAGATAATGTAGTTAATTGCCATTTATATTGTGGAATTTACAGAATCATCCATTGTATAAACTAAGCCTTTCAATTAGCTTGGTGTCAGGACTCTTTAATGTTTCAAATAGGGGAAGGGGTTTAGTAGTTGAACTAGTTCACTTTTCCTTAAGACGTAGCAAGGCACACTGGGTCTCCTCCATGATGACCTGGACCTCTACCCCTGCTGGTCATACGCAGCTCTCTGGGCTCTTCCTTTTAGTATTCCCCCCTTCATTGTTCCAAAGCCATGCTGCCTTCATTGTTTCTGGTGCGTTTTCCCAAATTACAGTCAGCATAGAATCCTGACCAGTTTGTCCTGTTTATGTGTATTCATTTTGTATGAAGGAAGACTCTGCTTGTCATTTAACTTAAGTTTTTTTTGTATGTTTTTTATTATAAAAATGCTGTACAGAGAGGTTACAGTTACATGAGCAAGGTAATGAGTCCATTTCCTATTGAGCATTGTTGCCTCCTCCTTTAAGTTTTCTCTAAACTTAGTGTTAGCTTTCATCTTCTGGCTTTCAGTCCTCTCCATTTTCTGTGGCATTACACCAAGATACATTGCTTTTATCTGTCTACCCATCTATCTACAATCCCCTTCTTCCCTCCCTTCCTTCCTTTGCCATGAGAAATGCTGAGGGCAGGCTAGTCGGCACTGTGCCATGAGTATTGCCTCCAGTCCTTTTGTTATATTGTAATTGCTCTTGTATAGTTTTGGGATTCAGTTGTCCATGAAAATAAAATTCAATAATGTAGAGTATTCACATTTGATAATACATTATGCCCTCTTTTGTAATTGATTGCATTGTTTGATGATTAGGTGATATTGCCTGTATATTATTTATAGTTACATGCATAAATGGAGCTAGGAAATGCTAGGGAGTTCAGAGAACTATAAATTTATGTTGCCTGCATCATTTCCCCCCACAATAGTTCCTTGAAACTTTGATAAATAAGAATAGTTGCTTTTACAGGGGTAAGAATGTCCTGCAAATCATTGATAGGTCCTTTTAATAAGCACTTTTATTCTTAAATCACTAAGAATGACACTTTATTAGATGTTACTTTTAAAATAGTGTTTTTTCCTAAGCCAGTGGTTGATGAGAAGATACCGCAACTGTTTCTTTACTCTGAAATTAGTGAAGTGACCACAGCTTAAGTGAGTTTGGTGTCCATATATTTCAAAGATTTTTTTTGTTTACTGGATGTCAGTAGGATTACTTGAATTTAAGTGCATTTTTTCATTGTATATATTTGGGTGGTTCTTAGGTGTTTACTGTGGATTAATGCCAGTTAGAGTATGTAATTGTACTGGTTCTAAGTGTTGGGTAGGAAGGAGTGTAGAGGCTTCATGGGCAAAATAGGGATTCATTCCACTTAGGGCCAGCCTCAGTGATTTCCCTTGTATATTGATTACAATTAGATTGCCAATAAGTCCATCCATCAAGTGGGAATCCTGAGTAGAGAAGTTGAAGTATAAAAAGTGATAGAAACTGCATTGCCAGCTCTTACCTGCTGCTATCAGTTTGCAAATAAGAAAATGAGGTGGTTCCCCCTCCTCCCCCCCCAGATACCCAAGCTAGTTGGAACCATTCTATTCCTTCAGGTATGTGGTTCTTTCTTAGTAACGCTATTTATTTTTAGTGGGCTGTACCTAGAGACTTAGGTGGCCTCCATTGGAATACAGGGTAGTCTCTTTGCTTCTGTACCTAGATGGAAGAATGGCCCAACCTAGAGCAAGCTTGATGCAATACTTACCCTGTCTGATATAGTAGGTTCTGAAGATGCTTCATTATATACAATTAGGTTCAGAAACGTGGATGGGGAGGGATCCTTTTTTTTTTAATTTTAATTTTATTTTATTTGTGAACATACTGTACAGAGGGGTTACAATTACATGGGCAGGATAATGCGTACATTTCTTACCAAGCATTGCAGCCTCCTCC